ACTTCAAAGTTAAGAAGTCATGGAAAGGAGAAAGAACAAGCAGAGAAACAAATAAGAAAAACTCCTTGAGAGAAGTGTTAACTTGAAACTGTGTAAGCCCAAAACTATGAGAGAATGTGTTTCAAAGAATAAGTGTGGCAGGTAGAATGATTACTGAGGAATGATGATAGGATTCAGCAACAAACCTCTTAAGTTAGCTGACAAAAGAGGATCACAACTTTGGAGTAATACCCGAAGGCTTAACTATAGTAAGTCTAAGAAAAGAACAGAGTAATCAATGTCAATATGAATAATTCCTTTGAGTAGCTGCTCTTCCAAAAGAGGTGAGCAGAAAAATATAATGGCAGATAGAGGGATAAGTAGACCCAAGACATGTATTTTTCTTGTATGCTAGTGTGTTCTTTTTATGATATATATAAAAAGAATAAACCACTAGAAAAGGAAATACGAAGCAAGAAAGAGAGGAAGACTTCCTTAATAGGTGAAAGAAAGGCATCTAGTATTTTAGTGGAAGCATTGAATTTAGGAAGTACATAATTCCATCCATAGCACCAGGAAAACAGACAGAGTATGTACAAAAGTAGGTAGATATGCATGAGTAAGTAGAAACTTGTAGGTGTTCTATCTCAATTTTTTCTCAATTCTTTCTGACTGAAATTAGAAATAAAGTCTTCAGACAAACATAAAAGTAGGAAAGAAGGTGTTACAGTTTAGATCACAAATGTTCCCCAAAATTCTCATGAATTCATAGGTAGGGCTTGGATGGAAGAGGCAGGTCATTGGGATATGACTGAGAGGGGTGTATTCTTGTCCCTAGATTTCCTTTCTTTCACTGCTTCCTGGCTGCTGTGGGTGAGTAGCTTTCCTCCACCATACCCTTCCACCATTCTGGTTATCCTTTGGATGTAGGCAATCAAAGACCGAGCCCACTGATACCGTAAGCCAAAAGAAACTTCACCTACTTTCAGTTGTGAATGTCAGATATTTTGCCTTAGCAATGGAAAAGTGACTTGTCATTCTGATAAGCCAGAAAAAAAAAAGAATAATATGAGATAACCCAGGGAGTGCAATATATATTAAAAAGTGAAGGTAAATCTACAAGATTTGTCAATTAAGAGACAACTGCTGACTTTAGTAAGGGTGATTCCATGGAATAGGAAGGCAAATCTAGAAGCAGAAGGAATTACCGTCAATGTAAAGAAAGATTTCTAAAATTTTTATGGGAAGAAAAGAGTTCCTATGAAGAAGAAAAATGATGAGGAAAGTCCTGTTTATTTCATGATTATAAGGGATGGCAGGCACCGTACACCTCTAATTTGTACCTAGTCTGCCTCACAAGCATGCTGACCTGGTCCCTCCCAGGCTACTACAGTCTCCTGCAGCTGCAATGCTAGTCCTTCCAGGAGAAAACAAGCAGTTCATAGGTTCATTATCGAAGCACCTGTTTTCTCTGAATGATAAAATTGCTGCACAGCTACTGCCATTCAACTTAACTATATATTTAAAATTGTTCTGCTCCCATCACATCTGTTTTACTATGACTGTATTGGAGAATCTAACATCTCTTTCCAATATTTTCTAGATACACACTCTATTTTTTTCACTTCTCTCTCCACTCTCACTTGGGCGAAATGACAGAGGCCAGTGTACAATGTCATCATCCTGTAGGACCCACTGAAGGAGAACTCCATGCTTTTGCCTTTACTCCAATCCAAGCAATTCAGTTATTTACATAAGGGATATCTTCTCCAACTACAGCAACTGGAGGAACCAGCTCTGTTCACTTTTCTTGTCCTATCTGTCTCCCCGTGCACTGTTTTAATATAAAGGGCTGAGTCAAAAGAGATCTGACTATACATTATTTTCCATGTCATGTAGTTAGATATAGACTTTAGGGAACTGGGTACATCTTAGTACTTTAGTCACTACATTTTTATTCTTAGCTATACTCCTCCACTTCTACATCTGCATACTTTTTAATGGACTTAAAGGACAGTTATTTCTTTTGCTTATGCTCTTGTGAGCAGCTAACAAACTCTGGCCTTTCGCACCATCCCTTTGGCATATTTGTCCTGCTTTGGTGGCCCTGTGTCTCCACCCTGTGCCTTGTTTGAAGTAGTTATTCTCCAGCTCCTTGACTTGGATGCAGTGGTTCCATCCACTACAGAGGAAGTTTAAGCCTTTCCATCACCTGTTCCAAGCCCCAGCCTTTCCAATCTGGCTAGATTTTGTTCTCTTAGTGGTCACTCTAAATCCTACACACTGGTAATCTGAGTACAGAGAGGGGCAGGGCATAAAAAGAGGATGCTAGAATCAGAAGAACCAGTCTAAAATTTTACCCACATGTTTCTCCACCTGTACAAAGAAGATAAAACCCTATACCTTGCAGGCACTTCAAAGGAATCCCTATAATATCTAAAAGGCGAATGGTCCCTCTTGCTTAAAGAATGGTTGCTAGGATGGTTATCAAGATCCTACCCTGGAATGTATTTTAAGGAGTCACTTTCTGAACTTCCAGTTTTTAATACCTAATAGTAGCTAACATTGACAGTTAAGGCTACAGGCAGTATATTAACCAAAATGATCAAGTATTTTAGTTTATTTCCTATAAGAAAAACTGTTAAGTCAATAATTCAAATTTTACAGTTCTGTGTGTCAGTAGATGTCTCTCTGCTGACTCTGTGTCTGCAAATGAAAATTTGTACGATTTTGTTATACAGCTACAACTGACATATCTACTACTGAGTGGAAATGATTTAATCTCTGTGCTTCTACCTTTAATACCATATGACAGTGGTAATTTATGCCTATAGCTATCACAATTTTTTCTACAACATAGCAACTCCCTGCAGGCCAGTGTTATTTTTTGTTTGTTTGTTTTTTGTTTCTGTTTTTTGGTACTGGGGATTGAACTCAGGACCTTGCGCTTGCGAGGCAGGCGGTGGAACCACTGAATTAAATCCTTGGCCCTACAAGCCAATGTTATATCCTCCATGTTATCTAAGTTCTCCTCTAGTTTACAATGTTACTGTATGTCTCAGTAACCTTTTTATCACAATTAATGATGTGGGTCGATGGAAGTACATGTGGATATTGTGGGATTTGGCCCATCCATTCTGCCCAACATCCTTTTACCTTTCCCAGAATTTTAATCCTACTCCAGTACTGATATTGCTGAACAGACTGGTTTTTACCTAAATCCTCAACTCTCTTTTCCAATGCTGGCTTTTCCAGCAGCTCCTCACCTCTCTTTGTCCTGCTAGAGAGATAATCAGGGATGCAGGGACTGCATAGCTACTAATACCTTGAGGGATCTGGCTACAGTCTGGACCCTCTGCTGGCACCCTGTGAACGTAACACAGGGCAGCTCTTCTCAGTGGTTTCCCCAGTAATGACCAAAGCCTGTGATTGTTAATTGTCTGTGTCAACTTGACTCAAGTGAGAACTTCCTGGCAGCTTAGTAAAGCTCTGTGGAGGCTGATACAGAAGATTCACACATTTGAGTCAAACCTGGGCAATTGAGCAACTTAGCTACACTCTGTCTCAAAATTTTAAAAAATAATAATAATTTAAAGGGGAAGGGCTGAAGGTGTAGCTAAAAGGCCCTAGGTTCAATCACCTGTAAGGAAAAACAAAACAAAAAACCTTGGTAATATCTTCTGCCTTACTCCAGGGTATGGAAGCCTACTTCTAGGATCTCAGAATACTTCAAGTTCCATCACCTTCACTCCATCCCATGGCCTGTGTCACTCTTTCCTGGGACCAAACATGGGTAACTGATCTCAGAAATTCTGAACAACATCTTGGTGCTAGAGGAAAATAAATAGTAAATTATACCAGAATCATTAATGGGAGGTGAGGCCACAGAGATATTTGATCCACATTCCCTGACCTCCATTACCTCAGGTCTCTAAGTTCATGAAGCACCACCAAATTGTGGTAACTGCTTCACCCATATTTATTCTCCCTAGGCCCAAGGAAGCATGAGATTCATCTGCTCATCATCCTAAATGTGACTGACTCCTAAGGCTGGCCCTGAATGTTTAATCATTTTCCCTTATGGAATTTTCCAAATGTGAGCCTCTCACATGATCATTTCATTAGCCATTATCCTGCTACAAGGCTGCAAGAAGCCACACTAGTACTTTGCAGCATACTCTATCTGCCTATGAGATTGAAAATTTACAGTAGAGGGGGTTGGGTGGATTGAGAAATTATATTTTTATTGATGACTTTCCCTGAGTTATAGGAAATATAGAATAGAAATGAGGCAGGAGAAAAATGCTGAAATGTATTTGGAAATCCTGAGCAAGATTCCCAAAGAAAAGGCCAGTGGGCTGGACAAAGTACAAGTATTGACTAAGAGATTCGGGGACCCTGGATATAGAAGTAAGAGCTAGAGCTTTGGCTGTGAAAACCACCAAATTCTCCGAGAGAGGAAGAAAAAGGTTGTATAATATACTCTCAGGGAGTAGCACTCTGTATGGGAATGTATAAAAAGTAAAATAAAGGAAACATCTTCAGAAAATAGGAGTCAATAGGTAAGATTCCATATAAAAATTTTGGAAGATGAGGCATGAGAAAATTTTGAGAAAGCCTCTGTACTTCACTAGGGGTAATTAACTGCAGAGGGTGGTGAAGCATTGCCTCTGAGGAGGGAGAAACAAGGAAGGAAGGGAGGGGGGAGGGAAGATGTAGAGAAGGAAAAGGAGGTTTAGAAGGGAGGTAAAAGGGCTGGGGATTTAGCTCAGTGGTTTTGCCACAGCCTGCTGTGCAAGCGCAAGGACCCAAGTTCAATCCCTAGTACCAAAAAAAAAAAAAAAAGGGAGGAAAAAACTCCAATATTTTCATCTCATGTTTTAAAACTTAAGAAGACTCTGAGGTTAGAGACATGAGAACAGATGAAGTAAACTCCCAAAATCATGTAACATGATCAGTACCTTTCCAAATAATATTGTATTTGCCGACCCAACAAATTTACGTCACACATGAGAGCCAAGCAATCTTTTTAATGTAGAATAGGCTGGGGCAGTGAGAGAGGGGCTGTCCAAACATGCTTGTGATCTGAGTAAGAGGATTCCCTAAAATAAGTGACTTCACTCCCCCTCCCCTTCCCTTCCTGGTGGTGCCTTGTGAGCATCTGCCAGGGGGACCTAGGCCTGTGGCTCCCCCAACAGTCTCTCAATGGCAGCATGGATGTCTCCCTTTGTGGCTATCAGGGCCTGCAGGTTGGCATTGCGATTGGCAAAACCCAGGGCCTTCAGCTGCTCCAGTTCTTGCTGGTAGTGACTTTCTGTGAGGAGGGATGAGGTTAATGGTGAATGGGTAGACGGGGAGCAAGTCCTGGCCAGTGCATGGAGAAGCTGAAGACTGGCCAGGGTGGGTTGCACAGGGTCTTCTCTATGCCCTTGTCTTCCGCCCCTAGATTCTGGGACTCTTCTGGCTCCATGTGGTCTAGCTGGATCCTGTAAGAATGGTCTCAGATCAGGCACTTCCCTGGACAGTATCTGTAGACCTTGTTCTATCTGTATCAATGCCTGCAGTGCTCGTGGATTGGTGAGGATAGGAAGTAGGGGTATATGATGTCGCAGGGGACTACTGGTTGTCAGCTGGTGTAGCAGAGTTGGATTCTGCTGTAGGACATGCAAAGCTTGGCACAAAAGAGAAGGTGAAGGTCTTGGCTGATTGGTCATAGAGGCTTTCTCTACAGGCTGCTGACTATCCTGGTAGGGAAGATCTTGGCCTGGGTATGAGACTAGCATACCATTCTTAGATCCTGAACTGGCCTGATTTGAGGTCACCCCCCTGCCCTGTGTAAATCCTCCCATACTGACCTCTTGTACCAGTGGTCTGGCAGGTGCGGAAATGGTGGGAATGGTGGTGGTATCAGAACTGCTGTGAGCATTGGCTTCTCCTCTGCAAGGCTCTGAACCTGAGATGCAGCCTTTGGAGGCAATCAACAAGGCCAGAGTGGAAAGCATAAGCTGCTGGACATCTGAGGAGACTAGATGCATAGCACTGTCCCCACTTGGCACTGCCTTCAAGGCCTCCAGCCTCTGCTTGCTTGCTTGCAAGAGCTCCTGTTGCCAGGCTGGCTTCTGTACGGCTTCCAGAGTCTTAAGAGCTGAGTCACGTTTCTATACTGGCCTTGAGGGTTCAGGAATGTGTCTGGCAATGATGGCTTGTTTCTCATTTGCTAGTCCTTGGATTGGAGGGTCTTCGAAGAACTGCACCACAGACTCCAGTGCAGTCATCAGGAGTTGTGCCAGAATGCAGAGCCACCTGAGGACACTGTTGGGCACAGATGTGTAGGAGCCTAGATGTGGCACTGAGCACCCCTGGGTCCAGGGACCAATAGGTGCCCAATGATGTCCTTTCACCCACGTCCTGCAGATGCCCTGTAGTCATCTGGCTCCCATAGAAGGGGCAGCTGCTCTTCTAGGCCAGCCTCCAGGGACATCAGTGATGAGGTGTCAGTGATGAGGTCACAGTGAAGGCAGACCTGAATGGGGGGAAGGCAGAGTTCTCGGTCACCTACCTGAGCTTGGGCTCTCTTTGTGATTTGATTTGAAGTTGATGGAAAAAAATCTACTGTTGAAAATCCTACCAGTAGGTCATTCGAGAGATGCAGACGAAAACAACACTGAGATTCCACCACACCCCAGAAAGAATGGCTGCTAACAAGAAATCAACCAATAACAAATGCTGGCAGGGGTGTGAGGAGAAAGGAACCCTTCTCCATTGTTGGTGGGAGTGCAGACTGGTGCAAGCACTGTGGAAATCAGTATGGAGATACCTCTAAGAACTAGGGCTAGAGGTCCCATTTGACCCAGCTATACCCCTGCTGGGTATCTTCCCAAAAGAATTAAAAGAATCATATCACAGTGATATATGTACACCCATGTTTATAGTGGCACAGTTTGTGATATCTAAAGCTTGGAAACAGCACAAGTGCCCATCAACTGGAAAATGAATAAAGAAGATGTGGGTTTTTATAAAATGGAGTACTATTCAGCCATAAAGAATGAGAAACTAGAGACTTTTATAGCTAAATAGATGCATATTGAGGCCACACTCTTAAGTGAAATAAATAGGACACACATGTGTAAATACCGAACAGTTTCTCTAGAGTGAGAAACTGAAAGTATAAATAAGGATTAAAATGAATAATTCATAATTTGAAATAGGAAAAGGTCCAAAGGTGTAGGGGTGGTTGGAGGGGAAGGGGAAAGGGAAGAAGGGAAAAGAAAAATTATGAGAAAAGAAAAAAAAATGGAAACGAAATCTATGTAAATAGGGAAGGGTGGAGGGGGTGAAGGGCGCACAGGTAATGGGGAAAAAAATAAGAACCAAGATACATCATGTGCAGGTACAAGCACCCAATGATAAATGTAAACATATTGTATACCTAAAATGTACCAATAAAAGAAAAAAATCCTACCAGTAGAGTTTGACAAATGAATATGGCTCAGTAAAAAAGTCAGTAGTCTAAGTCTTAGTTTGGGAAGTACTGATTCTGGTCACTAACCTTCCACCAAACTATTGCACACTAACCATGGCCCAGCCAAAAGCCTTTTCATTGCACCTCATGGCCAGTAGACAAACTACTTGGCCTCTCCTGATAATGCCCATCACACCTTTCCCATGCAGATATTACAGCATGACCAATTCTTTGGTGATTTCCTTTGGATTCTCCCTTGCAGAATCAAATATTTAAGTTAATATTTCTGGCTTTCTCTTAGGAAACACATTGATGTGTAGTAAGGATGAAAGAACATTCCAAATAACAATTATTAAGAAACACCTTTGCATATCTCATTTTTCCAAAGAGTTTTCCTCTTCTAGACTTGGAGATGACATATCCCTCATTCTCCTCCTTTAGACACTTTATTGTCCATATCTGAAGGACTGGGGAGGAGTAGGCTTTCAAAGGGAAATCAAGAATACTGCATTGTTTTGATCATATTTAGTGTGAGGCCCCTGTTATATTTCAGGAGAGATGACAATTCTAGTGATGGGTGCATGTCAGTGCTGGAGATGTAAGCCTGCTCTTGCTGAGTGCATAAGAGTGTTACTGAAAGCCGTGAGAGCAGATCATCTAGGCCAGTGATGGTGAATCTTTTAGAGCTTTCAATGATAACAAGTGTCCTAGGTTCACCACTACTGATAAGCAAACTGTTCAGACAGAAAAAGTATGAATCCTAGAGCCACCCACATCTATGATGATTTATTTTTGTTGGGTAAATTTACAGAATTAGAATTACTTTTGGATAGAAGAATAATCAAAATCTTGAGCTTGTTTAACAATTTAGCAAGTGACTTTCAGAGTGTCCACATTATCATATCTCTCCATTAAAACCAGACACAGTGGCACCAGGACTAATTTTTCACAAGAAGCATTTAAGAACACTTACATTAGAAGGCCAAGAGGTTAAAAAAAAAAGTATATTTTTAGCACATAACTTCTCTTTCACCTTACATTCCAATTTAGAAATTTAGTCCCTAAGAGACTTGCAGCCTAGCACTTTTATGTTAATCAACTGTTATTGTGACAAAATACCTGAAGTAAACTAACGGAATAAAAAGTAAATTTTGGCTCCCAGTTCCGGAGGTTCATTCCATGGTCACCTGGCTCCACTATCTGGGCTGTGACAAGGAAGAACGTCATGGTAAGAAGCACATAGTGGAGCGAATCCACTCCCTGCACAGTGGCCAGGAGACAAAAGGGGGAAAGGACAGGGGCTGGGCTTCCAATGTGTCCTTCAAAGACCTAACTTGCTACTGCTGGTCCCCACTTCTTAAAGTTCCCACTGGCTCCCAAAAGCACCACCAGCTGGGGACTAAACCTTTAAGGCAGGAGTTTTGGGGACACTTAAGATCCAAACTACAATTTTCTTGGGAATTTTAGGTTCAAATGTGTCCCCCTGGGTGAGCAGGTTATAAAGGTTTTTTTTAAAAAAGGTCGGGGATATAGCTCAGTGGTTTCGCTGCCTGCTGCGCAAGCGCAAGGACCCAAGTTCGATCCCCGGTACCAAAAAAAAAAAAAGGAAGGCTAGGGATTGAGGGGTAAAGGGACCAACTCTTTTGTGGATGCGACAATTGTCTTGGGAGGCTGTGTGCCTTCCTCCTCCCCTTTCTTCTGATCAGCGGGAGACAGAAGCTAAGAAACGCAACTTGAAGAGGATAAAGCCTCAACTATGATTACCAAAAAGTGAGGTAGGGTGATGAGGGGAGAAGAATGGGATGTGTGCTGCTCTAGGTAGCTGCAAACCTGAGGAAAAAGAGAAGGAACTTTGAACCTTATGCGCCTAGCAGGTGAGAGTTATGGTAACCATAGTATGTTATTTGTTGATTTTCACTCCTAGACAGGGGGAGAAAATAAATACATTTTGTATACATTCATAATATTTATATATAAACATATAATAGATTGTGTTTGTATACATATATATAATACATAATTAAACTAAAACAAATTTTTAATCACTGAGCAGAGCATGTTGACCAAACCTCTAAGAGTAGAATGTTTGCTGATTTTTAACTGAATAATATCAGTAGCTTAAATAACTTTGGTGACCAGGTACTGGGGCTTAGGTGGATAGATATGGGGGCCAAAATTATGTCCACAGTAACCCATCATAAGGCACTCATTCTTTTCAGAGTTAAGAACAGGCAAAATTTGCCTGTCACATGGAGAAGGAATGAAAATGATCACTCCTTCATTTATTAGGTTTTATATATTTTAATCCTTGAAGCCCTGTTTTAGTTTACACTGGGACATATTCATTATTTTCACTCATGGTTCATGGAATCTCATCTTATCAGGCCAATTCATAAGCTCTAAAGCTCATTTTAATTTTATTATTTATAATGTTAGGGCCTTGTGCCCAATATGAGATATTTGGGGACAAGGAGTATGATCACTATGAAAAATTTAGACAAGGCTACAGTTAAAGTGAGGCATACCTATTTTTGCTCTCCTGTAAATTTAGTTAGCCACTTGTGATTATAGGGGGTAAAAGGTTTAAATTTAATGGAATTTGCAGGTATAACTATAATTCAAGCTACAGCCTTCACTAAGCATGTCTCTGTACTTTGTCAATTGGTGCATTTTGGCCAGTGTTAAAGTTAACTTAGAATCTATGTTGTAGAGGTACAAAATCTGTTTGGTGTCCTTTTATCTCTTTTGTTATATAAATTATTTAATATTTAAATGTTGAATTTCCAGTTGTATCAAATTTGCAGAGCTATGCCTAGTTCTTAGTGAGTGCTTTATAAGGGTTAGCTATTACTTCTAAGATGTCATCTCCGAGATACTATAAACTCCTTAGAGCAAGAACTATATCTATCTGTTCACCATTTTATTTCTAGCACCAAGCACAATTTCTGACATATAATAAATATTCAAGAAATATTAGCTGGGCATGACGGCACACGCCTGTAATCCCAGAATTTGCGAGGCTGAAGCAGAAGGCTCACCATGAGTTTGGGGCCTACCTGGGATACAGAGCGAGTTCAAATCTGGCAAGACTCTTGTACTACATAGCAAGACCCTATTTAAAAAAAAACACACAAAAAATAATATTTTTGAACTAATGAATTGGAAAATGTTGCTTAATAACTTAGAAAATTTCATGATGTGTTATCCTATTTAAAAGGCAGATTATAAATGTAGGTACAATATAATCACAGTTTTATTAACAAACATGATATTAATGCTATCCGGGGAGTGCAATTATTTTTGTTTTTTATATTATCTGAGTTAATGTATATGCTACCTACAATTTAAATATATAAATTGTCATAGAAGAGCAGGCTTTATAACTTTTATCAAAGATGTCTAGACATTCTTGCACAAAAATCAACACAATATCTATATGAAATAAAAAGATTCATGCAGTAACTGGTGACAGCACAGTTTTACCACAGCAGTGTTCATTCCATATAAAGGGTGAACTCTACTCAAAATAACAACCCTAAAAATGTAATTTTTAAATACACTCAAATATGTAGGACTTATACAAAATCTCACATTGTTTTACATAGAAAAATTGAATTTGAATAAATGGAAACATTTCTTAAGAGGAAAGCCTGTCTATTGCAAATTTCTCAATTCTCCTTTATTTTGTAAGTGCAATAAAAAGCCAATCAAAACCTAGTTTGGGGGCCCAGTGATTTAGCTCAGTGGTTCCACCACCTGGCTCACAGGGTCAAGGACCCGTGTTCGATCCCCGGTACCCCCCCAAAAAAAGAAAAACCTAGTTTGGCCTTTTCTGAAATTGGAATCTGCTATAAAGTGTGTTTGAAAAAATAAGTTCACAAAATTAGTCAATGGTATTCTGCAACAGAATAATGAACCAAAAAGTTGTGTCATTAAGTATTTTGAGAATAAAATAATTGAAGAAATGTAGTACTTGTAGATGAAATAAAAACCAAAGAAAGAGAA